CCCCAGGTCTGTCTCGGGGGTATTCAGGCCACCGATATTTCCTCAGACTAGAAGGGACCATGTTTTCAGCCGCTGCTGCGAATCTTGTGGAGGACACCAGCTCCTGAGCCCTGGACATGCACACATCTGTACGAGGTGAGGGAAAACCCTGGAAACACGAAGATAAAAGATGACACAAAACAGGACCACCAGCCCCTGGCAGTGTGTGAAGATTCAGCAGAGACAAATGGAACCAGGGTACTATTTGTCATTGAAAAATTAGAATTAAAAAAAAAAACAAAAAACTCCACAATATATCAAAGCTCTAATACCAGCCAGCTGGCTTCCTTGTTGCGATGGAAAAAGCAGCTCCACCCAGGTGGCACAATGGGAAAAATGCGCCTCTTCTCCCGATTTTATCCGGACACCCAGTTCCTCGAGTTTGGGCAGCATTGTGACAGGCTGGTTGGTCTCCCGTCGGCTACTAGGCTTGAGGGATGGCCTGACACATAACTAGTCTCCCAGTCTGCTATTCCTCATTGAGAAGCAAATACAACAACTTAATGTCTTTTAAAAATCTGTGCCCCTGTGGTCTGTGCCCTTTGGGGAACATTTTCTACAGTTCTCTGCCTTGTAGGGATGGATCCATGGAAAGACCCCCTCGTTCTACTGCCCACATGCCTGATACAGTGGGAAGGTTTACCCAGTGCGGGAGGGGCCCCTTCTCTGTGCTTTGAGAAGGTCCGGAGGGAGGCTTGAGGGGCTCAGGTGATCAGCTGCAGCAACCGGAAGAGCCAGAATGTACTTGTCCACACCTGGTGGGGGTGTCCAGACACTCTGGGTGAACCCACATAGAGAGGGCAGGGGTCAGGGAGGCAGCACTTTGGGTGTGTGTGTGTTCCAGGGGCTGGAGGGAGATGACAGATTTCCTGCCACCCAAGAGGTGCCCAGAGAGCATTTTCAGAAATTTCTGGAAGTTTCTATGAGTACAACGTGGCAACAAAGCTGCCAAGACGTGAACCATCTCAGGTGCCCTGGACACCTCAGCTAACTGCCCCAAAGGGAGAAAGACACACAGAGATCATGTTCAGAGGGTGTTCGACTTGGGAATATTTAAGTCACGGCGCGTGGGAAACAATCTCCTGAAGATTTTCAGCCTAACGGGCAAGTTCCTGGTTTATTCAAGTAGTAAGCTCTTGTTGAGAGCCTGTCACATACACAGCCCAGTCATCTTTTCCAGTCAAGGAGGGACATGGCCCGCGAGGGAAGGAAAGCGGGGGGTGCGGTGGAAGAGAAGGGACCACCCCCAGCCCTCAGGGCCCACTCAGGGTCACACCCACTGGGGAGCACCAGCCCCAGCTTCAGTGTCTCTGCTTCCCTCCTGCTGACCCACAGGAGAAAGTCCCCACATGTGGCAGGCAGCACCTGCACTGTTCCCGCGCCTGGACCCCACTGGCCCATCTCATGCCAGGGGAAGGAGGGCAGGGCACGAAAGCAGCTTCAGCCTCTGGTGCTGGGGTTCTCCCCCACTTCCCCTCTGCCCCAGGGGGTACAGAACTGACCCTCTCCCAGGCCATCTCACCTCTGTCCACTCCCACCTTAAGGAGAGGGAGGGGCCCCAGGACTCTGGCAGGAGAAACATGTCAGGCTTGTGATTCCTCATCCGAGGGGGCAGTTTCTTCCTTGGGGACCTAGACCCCTGGGCAGCCCAGGAGGGGTTCTTTGGTTGGGGTCTGTAGGACTGCTCTAGAGTGATGGGCATGCCCCCCCACCTGGTTTAACCTGGCTCCGGGAGGGTTCTGCCTTATCAGCTGCTTGGGTCTGTAAAAGCAGGGGATCGACAGGCAGAAGCAAGACGTAGCCCTAACAGGTGTGTGGGGGGGAGGGGTGATGAGCAGCGAGGTCGGTGCACGCGGACGAGATTCAGAGACCAGCAGACTGCAGGTTACCGGAAGGATCATGACTCTGCCCTGCCCTGCCCGCGGTGCCCTTCACCATTAGTCTTCCCCCAGCCCCCCAAGCTGACTCAGAACCTTCCTCCAGGGCCAGGCTTTCAGACACCACACACCTAACAACCCTGTCCGCGCTCGAGCTGGTAAGGGCAAATTCCAAACTAGAAACTGACAGGAACCACCTGCTCCGGATTCTACAGACATTTTCCATCTCAGTGCCATGGTTCATTTTTTTTCTTTCCTGCTCTCAGAAGAGCTGAATTTATTTTTTTATTGCCTATTTTTGAAGCAGACTAATTACCCCATGCTAATTAGCTTTGGGAATAAAATAAAGGACGTAATCCTGTGTAGTGATAAAAGCATCATTTTAAAGTGAAGGCCTAATCAAGCAATTCTTTAAACTTGTGATGGAAAAATCGTTAAAAAAGAGAATTATTCACCTATAGTGTACATACAGTTTCCTAGATACAATAAATACACAGATCCTTTAAGGAAGTTACATTGGCACATTACAGTCAAAAGAGAATTAGCCAGCAGGAGTGCTCTAGGTACTAGAAACACTGTATTTTTTTGTCTCAAACTGCAACTGTAGGATACTGTATCATCTCAGATGGACTCTCCTGAGGAAGAGGCAGGTAATTAGGATGTGTTCTCTAGAAGCTACCCAAGGATTCAGAGAAGTGAACATCAGCACAGACATCATCGGGGCCACGTGGCCTGTGCTGTGTAGATAAAAAAAATCTTTTGGTCTTTACCAGGAAAAAAACAGGGGCACCGGACAGGGACAGCTATTAGGATCTGAGCTGGGGCACCAGGAGTCAATTAACTATTTGCCGAAGTTTTAAACAATGAGAACCAACCACAAGGGTAAGGCTATGCCTCCACCCACCCCCCACCAAGGATGGCCAACCCACTGGCCGCCCAGGGAGGGGTGATGAGTGAGAGCTTGGCTCCTATTCTGCTACTTACTGACAATTGGCCTAGAGTCACCCGGCCTCTCCCAAGACTACATGTTCTGTTAAACAGGGAGAATCATCCCTATGTACATCAAAGGGCAATTCTGAGAACTGAGATGGAGATGGACACACTTTGAAGCCCGGATGAGGCCGTAAGACCAAAGGGACCCGGTGAGCTATGCTGAGAGGTCCTAGGGGGCTCTGAACTCCTGGGCATGTCAAGTTTATACCAACGATCCCACTGGCCTCCCACTTAGCTAATTTCTTAGGAAAATCACCTTTGTCCTCAACTTGAAGACCACAGAGCCCAATCTAGGTAGAGAAACAAAAGAGGAACCTTAGTGTGGTGTAGTTGCTAACACTGATGCGGATCCAGAACAGAAGCCTGGTGACCAAGTTCCCTCCCGTCTTAGGCTCACGCTCACTGAAAAGGACACAGACGCAAGCACTTCCTCTTTTGAAATTCAGGAGGCCTTAGCAAGCACAGGCACGAATTCTGCCTCAGGTCACAACCTTTGGGTTTCAGGAAGGAATTAGCTATTGCATTTCAGCTCATCACCCATGACTGATTATTGGTGAAACACTAAAAACCTTCTTTCCTCACCCTATCCAGGCCAGTTCCCATACATTCTTCTGGGCAAAATACCCCAGTTATTAAAAGTGCATCAAATCCGATAGACTTTTGCAATAGAAATATTAAAAAAATAAGAAAAAAACCCCTCTATATAAAATGAATTGTGCTTTCTTTTTTAGAAACCACGGATGGTTTGTGTTCATAAATCTTTTTAATATAGATCTGAGAGCTACGAAGCAGGCGAAAATTGTTTAGCATTTTTTTTTTTCTATCTCTTTGTGACTCCACCTCCCATCCTTGGCCCTTCAAGGGCAGCCAACTCTACGGCTCAAGAAACTTAGCTCTACAAAATGCCAAGTTATGGTTTTCATACTTGCCTCCTGGGAACAGAGAGCAATTCTTTTTTTTTTTTTTTTCAGGAAATCCCTCTTCTCGTTTTCACCCCTTACGTGTGGCTCACTCGTTCCAGTTCAGCAGGCTATGAAATTTGCTGGGCACATGAGACAGTCGGGTCTTGCAACAGGGTGGCTTACGAGAGGAGAGCACTTAAAGGGACAACAACCCCACGCGGATGTTGTGCCGCATCACACGGAGGGTCTGGACTGTATGGCCGCAAACTACCATCTCCGCTGCATCTCCGAATTAGCACCCAGGTAGATGTTAGTCTCTCATGCTTTTCTATATTCCAAACCGAACGTCTTGGTGTCAGTGCAACACGATACACATAGGGTCCGTTTTCCATGGAGCGTTAGCTTTTTTGGTCCCCAGCATGGCCTTTTTGTAGGGAATGCTATTTTTTCAAGTATGATGATCTACAGGACGTTTTATTTTTAATATCTCATCGCTCGTTCTCTGAAGGCCTCAATACAAGTGACAAGGAAGTTCACGCGTGTTTCTCCTCTTGGCTGTGAGACGCTTTTTCCAGTCTTCCAATTTTTCCAGAGAAAGGGGTGGAGTGTTTGCCCTTGGGGGTCCCCCCAAATGCTCAGCAGGGTGAGGCCTCGTCCCCTCCGAACTGTGAGTGCTCCCAGCCGAGGTCGGGGGCGCACATGCGGCCTGAGGGACTCACACCCCCTCCCCCCGCCCCCGGCCCAGAGGTGACACTTGAGAGCGACATTCCCATTTTGCATTTGCCCCAGGGGACCTCCCGTTCTCCTGGCTGCCTCACTTCCGAGGCTGCCGGGCGACAGAAAGACACACTGCACACGGAAGTCCTCACTACGGTGTCTGAGAGAGGCGAGGGGCACGCCGCACCCCTGTGGCTGCCAGCTCAGGGGGCTGCCAGGTGGCTCGGCAGCAGCCCCTCAGTCTTGCCTTGCGTGGGGAGGGCAGAGCTCCGAGCAGGAGGAGGCCGCCGTCCAGCGGCCTGGCTCGTGACCAGACGACGAGCACGACGGCCCTTCCTTCCAGCGTGTGGAAGAGCAGAAGGTGACCACCAAGGCAGGAGAGACTGGCGGTGGGGCAGGGGAGAGAGCGGGGACACCGGCACCGGAGAGTCCAGAACAGCTCCCGGGGCGGCGGGGGGGGGGGGGGGGGCGCGGGCAGCGGCTGGGCTTTAATTGTCTTCTCGGCACATGGGCAAGTTGACAAAGGTGAAGACGTTAAACTCGATCATTATGGAGAAGCACAAGAAGACGGCGTAGAGGGCCAGCACGCAGACGCCCAGCTTCCGGTCAAGTCTCCACTTGTTGAGATGGATGCCGAGGACCTGGAGGGACAGAGCGCAAGGATGGGCCCGGGGGTGGGGGGTGGGGGGGTAGAGGAATGAATGCAGTTGTCCAGGCATTTTCCCTGGAAAACTAGACACACGCTACGGACCCCAGAACTTTCTCCAAAACGTGGGCAAGGGCAGAGTGGCCGCAAGGCACATCCGTGGTCCAGTCCGATGGAAGGGCGAGCCCTTGACCCAGGCCCGCAGGCTCCGGGGACACACGGCAGCTGCCCCCGTGGGACGGCCTGCCTCGAGCAGGCACACCACTTCCTGGGGACCCGAGTGTCCTCAAGGCCCAGCCCGGCACCAAGGGCCTCCCTCTGCCCAGACCTTCTCTCGTGACAATCAGGGACCTTCTCGGAGTCCTCTTTGCTGAACCTGGCATCCTCAGCCCTCTTAGGCAAAACTTCTAATGCATCTATTGGCTCACAGCCTGGCTAACTTCAGGGGTAGGGGTGGGTGGGTGGGTGGGTGGGTGTGTGTAGATGGGCTTGGAGCACATCCTCATTTTATATTGCTTCTAGACCCTCCCACACTTCATGCCTTTCTTTCTTATCTCTGAATGGAGACTTCCTAAGGGCTGGATCACAGTTACCCCATCAGAGCAAGGCCATGGGTTCTATAGAGACAGACCAATCTGGGTTCAAATCCCAGCTTTCCCATTTCCTACCCCTGTGACCTTGGGCAAGGTACTTAACCCCTTGGCCTCGATTTCTTCTGCCAAATGGGAACAGTATCATCAGGTGGCTGTAAGGACCGAATAAAATAAGCAGAGGTACAGTGTGTAGCTCAAGCCCGGGCGCGTGGAGTAAGGTGGCCTCAGTATTACTCATGTGCCAGTCCTGAGGCCTGACAGTCGTGTCCCCCCCTCTGTCAGCTTGGCTAGGCTGGGCGAAATTTCTCTCCTCCTGGCAGTAGTGAGGGGAGACGGATGGGGCAGTGGGGAGACAGGGATGCAGTTCACTTGCTCTGGTGACTTCTTAGTCACTCAGGGAAAACTGTAGTAGGGGGGCTGCCAAGGTTCTGGGTGCAAATTGTGTCTGGAGGGATCTGTGAATTTGTGTTTTCTCAGTGTCATTCCTCGCTGCCAGAGGGAAGAGAGATGGGTTTCAGAGACACCGCAAGTAACGATGCAGGATCAGATGGAAGGAAGGACAATTCTGGAACCGGAAGACTCACAGTGAGAGCGACAGAGCCCAGCAACAACACCACGGAATAGACCAGACCCCGGCTGTTGATCTTCACCTGGAAAAACAAACACACATGCCTTGAATCTCGGGGCGGCTCGGGGCCCTGTTCTGAGAGCCCAGGGCATCCTCGTGTATTCCTTCTGGAAAGCATAGGATAGGGTGTTCACGGCGAGCCTGTGGTGGGGGAGGGTCGGCTCACCGTGGATTTAAGTCTCCACTCTGCTTGGGAAGGAACCGACGAGGAGGGGACACACGTGCCCGTGGGCTGAGGTGCGGGGGTGGCTGCACATGGGGGCTTCCTCCTGCAGGTGCCCCTCAGGCCATTCCAGAGGTCTTCATGGAAAGTAGGTGCCAGGGTGCCAAGCGGGGGGGCAGTGTGTCACCTGGGGCTCTCTGCTGGAACAGGGCCAATGCCACTGACTGTCCCCATCAAGTGCTCATGTCTGGCATCCACGCCAGACTTATAAGGCAGTGGGAGGAACTTACCGTGGACCCATAGTTAATAACCATGGTCTGCAGGCCCCACGGTATGCCGAGTCCCACTAGGATGTCAAATACATTGCTTCCTATGGTGTTTGAGACCGCCATGTCACCAAGGCCTAGAGCAGACAATTGACACGCGTCATTCACCAAGATTAGGTTGCTGGAAACCCCTATTTGTGTCCTAGTCACGCTACTCTTCAGAAAGGAATTCCTCCTTCATGGATCCCACATTTCAGAAAATTCTTATGAGGTCTAAATCCACTCCATGAAATCTAAGGGGCCTCCTAGGGGCTGAATGATGACCCTTAAGATTCCTATGTTAGAGTCCTAACCTCCAATAGCTCAGAATGTGGCATTATTCGGAGATAGGACCTTTACAGGATCATCAACTTAGAAGGAGTCACTGGGGTAGACCCCAATCTGACTAGTGTTCTTACAAAAGGGGACACCTGGACACAGCACAGACGGAACATGAAGACGGCCATTTACAAGCCAAGGAGAGAGGCCTGGAACAGATTCTCCCTCACAGCCCTCAGGAAGAACCAACTCTGCCAATACCTTGACCTTGGGCTTCTAGCCTCCAGAACCCTGAGACCATGCATTTCTGTTCTTTGTGGTGCTTTGTTATGGCAGCCCTGAGAAACGAATATAGGGCCCTTTATCATTTCTCCTGCTGGGTCAGTCCCCTGATGTTCCCCGAGGACCCACTATGTGCTCTGAGGACCCACTATGTGTGTCACCTTATTGAATCCTCCCAGTTACCCTGGGAGGGAGGGGGCATTGTCCTCATGGCATATGATGGAATCAAGGCTTGGGGCACGCCCAAAGTCACACAGTTTGTGAGCGGTCCAGCATCCTTCACACTGAGCCAGGGTGTGTCCTTGGGGCCCACGTCATGGCCCCACGACCTGGGCTCAGAGGATAAGGCATCGGGTCTCACGCCCTGGAGGCTTCTGCGCGGTAAACTCTTTTCTCCCAACTAGACTAGAAGCACCTTAGAGGCTAGGGACCTCGCCATCATCCTTTGCTTCCTGCCCAACTGGCTGGGATCATGCTAGCCACACAATCGAAGCACTTAACAGCTCGAGGGGTATTAAAAGTTAGAAAACAAACTTGTACAGACTCTGGCTGCCTGCCGTCTGCTCTAACTGGGCCACCTAACTTTCATCCGACATGAGCGTCAGAAGCTGGCACGAATTCAAGTGTGTGTGCAATGAACGAGCTTGGAACACAAATGTCTGCAGCCCTAAGACTGCTTGGGTCCCTGAGAAGCTTGCAGCCGCTCAGGCCCGCACCCGGACGGCTGGTTCGCGTCTGTCTGAGCACCGGCACTGTGGGGGGACGCTGGGCTACCCCCTCCTCCTGCCCTGTTGCTGTCACCTGCGGACCTCTAGGACACAGTGCCTCTCTCAAGGACCTCACGTTCTTCCTCCCTGTCTCGGCACCGTGCTGGGTGCCTTCAAAATCTTGGCGGTGCTGCTGGGGCGCTGACTCCGGGGCATCAGCCTCCCAGCATCTCAGTCTCTGGAACAACGCAGGGACGTGCGACAGCAGTTTTGGGCCAGCTACTTGCCTCTGGTGAGGACGCAGCACCCGCTCGATGGGTCAGGAGGTACGCGGATGCCCAAGTCTGAGGGGAGACGGTTCCTCAGATTTGGCAGACTTCCCGCCCTGCGCAGGTGCTGCGTATCGAGGAAACTTAGGGCAACCTTTCTCAAACTTCAAGAGTGTAGGACTCACTTGGGGGCCTGGTGGTGGGTCTGGGGCGGACCTGACAGTCTGCATTTCTTTTTTAAAATTAATTCATCAATTAATTAATTTTGGGGGGAGAGAGAGCAAGAGCGGGGGCTGGGGAGGGGCACAGGGGGAGAGAGACTCTGAAGCAGGCTCCACGTTCAGCTCAGCACAGAGCCCAACATGGGGCTCAATCTCACAACCGTGAAATCATGACCTGAGCTGAAACCAAGAGTCGGATGCTTAACCCACTGAGCCACCGAGGCAGCCTGAGATTCTGCATTTCTTACAAGCTCCCTGGTCAAGCTGCTGCTGCCGCCGCCAGCCCGGCCCACACTTGGAGCTGGGAGCCTTCGGGAAGCCTAGGATGCAGGATCTCCACGTTACAGCACGTGGCATGGTCTGCTTGTGCAATGGATTCTGAGCAGCGGTTTCTGGACACTTTGCCACGAAGAAAGTGCCCATGCTTTACCCATGTCTGCTGGATCCTCGGCCAGTGTCCCCGGTGTCACTTTCATGATGATACGCTCCACCTGCCCCTTGCCCTCGCTCACTCTCTGTGCCCTCCACATTCCACAGGAGTCACCCTGATAGGATGTCCTCCCTCAGAACCCCACTTAGCCCGGGTTCCTACAGAGCCACTTCTTGACCTCACCCCCCAGCCCCTCACCTTCTACCATCATGACCCTGGCCCCCAGCCAGCCTGGACTCCAGGGTTGGTTGTTTCAACAGCACATTCTCTTACCCCTTGACCTTCCCTGCATCCACCCAGCAACCCCAGCTCTGGGTGAACTTGTCATCTCTCACGTGTGTGTCACTGGAGCTGGGGATGCCTGAGTCCCGCTTGGCCAAGCTGACGCCACTGAACATCAGCGAGGCCCTCGATGCTCGGCGGCTCTCCTATTCCTCACTGCACCGGGTTGAACAGTGCCCTCCCCGCAGCTGGTGTCCTCCCGGCACCGGTGCCCGGGGCTTTACTTGCAAATAGGGTCTTTGCAGATGTGATCAAATTAAAATGAGGTCATACTGAATTAGGATGGGCCCTGATGCACTGACGGGGGTCCTCGTAAGGAGAGGGAAGTTTGGGCACAGACACACGCAGAGGGGTGAGCACCACATGCTGAGGGAGGCAGAGACAACAGTGACGCAGCCCTAAGCCCATCCGGCCACCCCCAGAAGCTGGGGGGAGAGGCCTGGAACAGACCCTTCCCTACAGCCTTTGGAGGGAGTGCGGCCTGGCTGCCACCTCGATTTTGGACTTCTAGCGTCCAGAACTGTGCAACAATCGGTCTCTTGTTTTAAGCCACCCCGTTGCGGTGTTTTGGTGACGACAGCCCTAGGAAGTGAATACACAGCTCAGAGGTCACTCTAAACCCCGCTGCCCTCAGCTGCTGTCCCCATTCTCCACAAGCCTCCGGCCTATGTCCACCACACTCCCACATTTCTCTCCCCTCATCTCAGGTCTTCTCAGGACCGACTGACCCCTTCAGTCAACCCTTCCCCCTCCTAACTTGGGAGGAATAAAATGTCACTTTCTGCCTTCCAGAGCCCACTTTCCCCTTGGGCACTTCTTTCCTGTCTCCTCTGAGGTGTCATTCTATTATTGGCCCCCGGCGCCCCGCTCCCCCCACACTTTCACACTTTCGTCTGTGGAGGAAGACGTGTGGGGGTCCATGCTGGGTTGCGGCCTCACCAGCACAGACACCACTATCAATAAAGGTCAGTCCTTTACGGGGCTTTTGTTCTGCATTAAAGAGCATACAGGTACTCCTTACCTTGCTTAACCCATGTCAGGTAGTGAGCCCCAAAGAAAAACCACTAACCAACCAACCAAGTAACCAAACTCATATCCATGTTCTAGAACTTTAAGAATAGGAAAACACTTGGAGGTACACGGAGGTACATGGAGATACCCCTCCCCCTTTGCCTTCCTGGGACCCGAAGACTTCTCGTTACTATTGTATTTGCTGTAAAAAGTCAGGGTTTCAGCTCTGTTTAATGTCGCACTGGTGATCTCCGAACAAGTTCCTTTGATCCAAGTCTGCAGAGGCAAATGGTTCTAGAGATCTGGACGGGGATGTTTATGGCGGTCGTATTGTCTCCACGGATGGACTCGGATGCATGACGCTTTCCCCTCATCAGCCGGCTCCAGAGCAGAATGTAACAGCTACTGGTCAGAAGGGCCATGAACTCTAACCCCAGTAGGGGCAGGGGGGCCTGCCCGGTGGTGCTCACAGCTGGAGGGGCACCACCCTTACCTTGTCTCGCCACGATTAAGCTGGCCATGCAGTCTGGAACACTCGTGCCCGCTGCCAGGAAAGTGATGCCCATGATGACATCGGGGATCCCAAGAGTGTATCCAATAATAGTCACCTGCAGAAGAGTCGGGGGGCAGGGGCATGAACCAGAAGAGTCGGGGGAGGGGACATGAACTCCGAGAGGAATACCCAGGACCTTTGCTTATTCCGAGTGCTTTTAACTGGAACGTAGGACTGCTGTTCTATTTGCTGTTTTAAAACATTTAGAAACGGAAAGAAAATGAAAACAAGACCCACAGACGACCACTATTACCCTTTTCTGTCAGCCCGTGGTTCTCAAACTTGAGCACGTGGAAAAGCCTCCGGCGGGCTGGTTACAATGCAGACTGCTCCCCCCGCCCCCCACGTTTCTCATTCAGGAGGCCTGGGGTGAAGCCCGAGAGTTGACGTTCCTACCCAGTTCCCAGGTGGCTACTGGTCTGGGAGCCACACTTGAAAACTCTTGCTTTAGAATATATCCTTGACCTTCTTTTTGGGGTGTGTGTGTGTGTGTGTGTTAGACGCTGTGGATACCTTTCCACCCTGTGTCATCATCTTTGACACTATTTTTAAACTGATGCATAGATTTCACGGCGTGGCTCTATGGTTCTAGCCAATCCCTCACCATCGGACAGTGAGGTGGTCTCTTTCTTTGCTCCTACGACCTCACAGCATATAACATGTATTGAGCACGTACTGTATACCAGGTGCTCATGTTGCGTACACAATCTCAGGTGCTCTAGTATCACCACCTACTGGTGAGGGCGCACTGTGGTTACACTCATTTTACGCCCAGGGAAACTGAGGCTCAGAGAGGTTATGCAGCATTGCCTGTGGGCGAGAAGCTGCTAAGCAGTGGAGCAGGGATTCTGGGCCAGGTCTTTTTTTTTTTTTTTTTTTTAAGATTTTATTTATTCATTTGAGACACAGAGATACAGAGAGAGAGAGAGAGAGAGAGAGAGCATGAGCCTGGAGAGGGGCAGAGGGAGAGGGAGAAGCAGGCTCCTCACTGAGCCAGGAGCCCGATGTGGGGCTTGATCCCAGGACCCTGGGATCATCACCTGAGCCAAAGGCAGACGCTTAACCATCTGAGCCACCCACGCGCCCCTCTGGGCCAGGTCTTACTGACTCTAAAGGCCATGCTCCTACCTCAATATCATGCACCTTGTGTGTACATCTTTGGGTTATCTTCCTGCCTTCTTAGGAAAAGCTCCAAGAAATAGAACTTCCGGATCAAAGGATCCTGATGCAGTCACACACTCTACTGAGAAATGCCTGACACTCGAGAGATGGCTGGGGCCCTGAGCAGGAGCCAGATGGAAGGCCCTAGAAGCATTTGAATAACCCCATTAGCTCTGGCTTGCCCTTCCCCCCATCTCTACAATGGGAACCGTGGCACCTCTTAGGGTTGTTCCCATCTCAACTGATGGCTCCAATCCTAGCAAATCGTTGTGTGATTAGGAGAAGCTGGTTTGCTTCTCTGAGCCTCAGTTTCCTCATCTGCAGAATGGGCTTGCTAATAAAGACTAAGTGAGAAAACGTGAGGTGACAGTGCCTGGCCTGTGCAAGATGTTCACAGATGTATGTTTCCCTTCTCTATCAGATACCGAGGAGGGCAAAACTGAACCACTGATCCATCAATGTTCCGTCTACCTTGGCCATGAACGAGATCTCCACAAGTACAACCAGGCCGTGGCTGACATACTTTCTGTGGGGGATGCCAGACATCATAAATACAGGAGCCTGGGTTATGTTGGCATTATGGGGGATGCCTCCATTTCCCCCCTTAAATCACTGAACTACGTGGCTGAGAAGCTGAAGGATGGAAGAACAGAAGGAAGGTCTTGTGTGTGTGTGTGTGTGTGTGTGTGTGTGTGTGTATGCGCGTACGCATGCGTGCATACACCATCCAGGGTGCTTCAGACTAGAGATGCCGCCTGAGTGTGGCGTTGCCCCGGACTCTAGCCCTGGGCCCTCTGAGCCCACCTGATACTTAGGCTTCCGACAGGGGAGCAGAACTGAGTCCAGAGCTCTGGGGCTGACTATCTGTGCAACCTTGTGGAAGTCGTGGCCCCGCTCTGGTCTTCAATCTCCCCAGCGCTGGAAGGGTGCCAGACAGGACGATCCCTTTCCAAGGTCCCTCCCTTCACACTGACATTCAAGAATTGTTTTCTCTGAAGCCTTAGGGGTGAGAGATGTAAAAGGTGGTAGGAGTAAGTCAGGTAAGTAGGAATAAGGGCAGGTCAGAAGTCGCTGCTCCCTGGCGGCCCCCATCGGGTCACGAGGAAAGCAAGCTCATGGCCCGAAATGAAGGCTAACATGGGGTGCTGTTGTCTTGACCAATTTCTACCATGAGGGTCATTCCATTTCCCCCAAACTGAGGCGGGCTGAAGTTCAAAGCCACAGGTAAGGGTGCCCCAGCCAAGCAGTTCCTGTGAGCCCAGGCAAGCTGCTTCCAGACTCTCTCTGCTTTAAGAAGTGCAGGTGGGCTGACTCGAGGTCATGGGGATGTGAGTGTTGTTAAATATCTGGCCTCACAGCAAATGAGCAGAGCTGATTTCATAATACTGTTGTTTCCAGTAACTTGAGAAGAAAAAGTTTCACCCATTCATTAATTTGATCTTTCCTAATTCTCATACCTACTCCTCAGATGTCATGCAATACTTTTCTTCCTTGCAGTGTTGTTTTGGGAATGCACTTCAGTAAGAGAATTCACTGGATCCTTTTATCAAATATAAAGATGGGCTGGTGTTAACCTTACTCCGAAAAATGTCAATTTACAAGGGCAATTCACATAAGGCATCGTTTTTGTGATCCTTGATTGTCCTTTACTGGGGGGTTTGGATAGTAGCTGTTTTCAACTCTTCCCACACCCCAACACACACACACACACACACACACACACACACACACACACACACACACACTCTGGCATCTATGAGGATTTTAACCTTTGTCTGAACAAAGCATGGATGCAGCACTGGCTGCATCTCATGGTGAATACAGTTGCTATCGGCAGTTACAATTGATCAGTCATGCTGCCAACTCGAACCACAAAGCCTGAGCAGAGACCTCCATCCTCCCCATGACCTTGTGAGATGGGAACGGTCATCCCCCTTCTGCAGAGGGGGTGACCATGGCTCATGGAAGCTGAGTCACCTGCCAGGCTTCACGGCTGGTGAGTGGGAGATCTAGGATTCAAATGCATTCCCATGTGACCCCACAGCCCTTCCCTCCCCACAGGGTGGTACACAGAGCAAGGGGAAAGGGGCTCCTGCTTACCGCCCCCCACCTCCAGCCAATGAAAGGTTTGTACAGGGAGCTGTCACGTGTGGCCAGAGGCGCTTACAAAGAGCTATGCCAATGCCTCTCTGCTTGCAAAACTTCAGTCCAAATGGCATCTGAAAACTCCAGTAAGAAATTGAGGGGCATTTCAGGATAGTCGTTGAGATCATGGACTCAGGAGCCCAACTCTAGAACTTACTGATTATGTGACTAATCGTATAATAGTTGATAATTGTGCAACTGGGCCAATTACTCAATCTGGATGCCTCAGTTTCCTCATCTGTAAAATGGGCAAAATAAAAACCCCTATCCTACTGGGTTGTTATGAGGGCCAAAAGAGTTTATTGGCAGGGGTTACAGAAAAGACTGCCTTGTGTTCCTCTCCCACTGACTCGTCTCCCTCACCTTCCCCCAGGGGCCCTGGAAAGGAAAGGGGACTAGGCACTAGCCCTCCAGAGATCTTCCCAGAGCATCCCCACCACACTGCCACATTCCTTTTCCCATCGCACCTGAGCAGCAGATCTCAGAATCTCTTCTCCTGCCCCTACTCTTGCCTTGAACGTCAGTGCCATGCTCTGTCCATCCGGGTATCCCCGGTGCTGAGCACAGTGCCAGGCACCTCTGCTGAAACCCCCTTCTACTGAGAAATAAGCCAACGTCTGCGAAGGGAGGCGACTTGCTCAAGGTGGCACCGCCGTGTCTGAGGTCGCTCTTGAACCCAGCTCTCCCACCTCCGGCAGGTGCTGGGCAGGGGCTGTCTGTACAGCCCACCCCTGCTTCCACCACTCACCAGCCACACCATTACGTAGGAGAAGACAGCGATCCACAGCGTGGCGGTGATGAAGGTGACCATGAAGTATTTCTCCCAGCGGGGCTTGCTGCAGTTGGGGATGGTGATGCACAGGAGGAAGATGAGTGGCCAGGTGAACACCCATTTGGCTTTGTCCCCTCTTGCCTCTGCAGTGGGATGGGGTGGAGCCAGAAGGGGGAGGAGAGAAACATATACCAGGTTACACAACTGCTAGTCTACCTGTCTATCACTTTGTGTTTTAGTAGTTTCTTCATCCATTAAGCGGAAACATTTTCTTTCTTGGTTGTTGCAAGAATGACATGATATAATGTACAAAAAGACCCAGCACACACTGTAGCATATAGTTAGTACTCCGGAAATCTCAGCTCCTTTGTTCCAAGGTCATATACTCCGCTTGTTGTAGATACAAGACTAAAATGTGAGTGTCCTGGCTAGCAGGCGTAACCTCACTGGCCCCTACCAACAGAATCCACAAACAATTCAACCAAGGAAAAGTGGCCTCACTAAGCCACTGGGTGCAAGCATAATGTCCTTAATTAGCCACTGAGTACAGTGTGCACATGCAGGCTCAAAATTAGCTTGTTGGCCACTCCAACGAAATAGTGGAGGACGGACTTCTCAGGATTCTCCTCCACAAAAGCAATGAGAACATTGGCAAAAAATGGTCGGAATCAGCCTTTTTCAGAACTCTGGAAATTAACCAAAGGCGTGTAGTAATTCCAGCAGAGTTTACTTAAGAAAATTGGCAGGATCTCAGTGAGAACAGTGAGCTTTGTGGAGTTTTAACTTGCTCTATTTTCCAGTCCTTTCCACCAGCTCTGGAGTCGCCTTGAGAACCAGCATCCTGGCATCCACCACAGGGGGCAGGGCTGGAGCTTCTTCCAAGTCCATTCTCGGAGAACTGGCATTATTTGACCTGTCTGGTGGTTTCCTGGAAGATCCCACTTTCAAGGCTGTCTTTATTTTTCCTGAATCAGAGCTCAGCCAGTGTGAATAGTATTTTCCTTGGGGGCATTTGTTGAAAACAATCAGAGGCAACTGTTGAACATCACACTGTCTCAGGTGGTGGGTAACAGTTGAGACAAAAAATGAACTGGCCAAACAGCTTAAAAGGAAAAACTGGGGAATGGGATATATCTATAGAGGGCTTTGCAAAGCTCCCACATATTTGGGAATCTAAAAGACCATGAGTATGCATAGGGCTGCGCCCGTGGATATTTGCATGCTCAGTAAAGATTTGAAGATGCCCTAAGCTTTCACCTCTGCCTAATGTTGAGGCTCTGAGCAAGCAAGAAAGTAAAAACTAAGGTAGATTTGTTAACTATCTGCCTCAGTGTTGAAGGTGTGCCCCCAAACACACACAGAACTTAACGGCAAAGACTGGAAGACTTACTTGGTCCAGGCATCTAAGGAAACCTCTGTGCTATCATTAGATGACCTTAAGAGAACCTAGCAGATATTTCAGTGTCCACGCACAATAAAGAAGACAAATTTTACAGAATTAGCTGAGAAAGTTGACTAAACAAACAACAGCAATAAATAGCAGTAACAAGCAGCCCCGGGAAGGAAGAAGAATATGATTTCTAGCATTGTGAAATTATATTATTTTAAATGGCCAGTTTCCAACAACAACATCAAATATGAGACATGCAAAGAAACCAGAAAGTATGGTCCATACACAGGAAAAAAAAATCAGTCTAAACTACCTTTGAGGAATTCCAGACATTGGATTTACTAGACAAAGACTTTACCTTTTATTATTATTTTAAAGTTTGTTTGTTTATTTACTTATTTACTCCTTTATTCATTTTAGTAATCTCTACACCCAATGTGGGGCTCAAACTCATGACCCCAAGATCAAGAGTAGCATGCTCTTCTGACCAAGCCAGCCAGGTGCCCCTAGACAAAGACTTTATATTAGCTGTTTTAAACATATTCACAGAGGAGTTGTCAAAATGTCTAAAAAACCTTAAGAGAAGCAAGAGAATGATTTTTCACCAGAGACTATCAATAAAGAAGTAAAAACCATAAAAAAGCACCAAGAGAAATTCTGGAGTTGAAAAGTAAAATAACTGAGAAATTCACTGTTGGGGCTCAACAGCAGATTTGAGCAGGAAGAAGAAATCAATCAATGACCTTGAGGATAGGCCAGCTGAGATGATCTAGTTTCAGAAACAGAAAGAAAAAGGGAAAAAATGCAGGAAAAATACCCGAAGAACTCACATTCAAAAAAGTTCCCAAATCTGATGAAAAACATTAACATATACATTCAAGAAGGATACACATTATTCTCAAGCTCACATAAAACATTCTTCAGGATAAACAACACCTTAGGTAATAAAAACAAGCACTGATACATTTAGAAGGATTTAAATCAAGTGAAGTATGTGCTACAACCACTCCGCAATGGAAAGAACTTAGAAATCAGTAACAGAAGGAAAACTGGAAGTTCACAAATATGCGGAAATTAAAGAACATGCTCCTAAATGACCAACAGGTCAAAAAAGAAATCACAAGGGAAATTAGAAAATACTTTGAAATGAATGAAAATGAAAACACAACATACCAGAACTTATGGGATGCAGGAAAAACAGTGCTTAGAAATTTATAGCTATAAATGACCATACTAAAAAAGAAGAGTTTAAATCAATGACCTAATCTTCCTCCTTAAGACAAAAAAAGAGCAAAGTAAGCCCCCAAAAAGAAAAGAAATAATCAAGATTAAAATGGAATAAAATAGAATTTTTTTAAAAAAGAAAATCAATGAAAATAAAAGTTTGTTCTTTAAAAAGATCAGTGAGGGGCGCCTGGGTGGCTCAGTTGGTTAAGTGTCTACATTTGGCTTAGGTCATGATGCCAGGGTCCTGGGACTGAGTCCCCTGTCATGCTCCCTGCTCGGCGGGGAGCCTGCTTCTCCCTCTCCCTCTGCCCACCCCCCACTTGTTTTCTCTCTCTCTCAATACATAAAATCTTTAAAAAAAATAAAAAGATCAATGAAATTGACAAACTGTTAACTAGACTGACCGTGAAAAAAAAAAGGAGAAGACTCAAATTACTAAAATCAGGAATGAAAGAGGGTGATGGTTATGTGCCTCACAGAAATAAAAAGAATTATTAAAGAAATACTATGAACAACAGTGTGCCAACAAATTACATAACCTAGATGAAACAGACCACATCCTACAAAGACAAAAATACCAAACCTGACTAAAAAAGAAAATCCAATAAGACTTATAACAAGAGACTGACATAGTAAAAAAACAAACAAACAAAACAGAAAAACTTTCCTTAAAGTAAGGCCAGGACCAGATGTCTACCAAATGTTTAAAAAAGATTTAGCATGAATCCTTCACAACTCTTTCAAAAGGTAGAAGAGAAAGGAACAGCTCCCCATTCACTCCACGAAGCCAGAATGATCCTGGTAGCAAAGCCAGACACCAAGAGAAAAGAAACACAGACCAATATCCCTTATGAATATAGGTGCAAAAATCTTTAACAAAATTCTGGCAAACTGAATCCAGCAACCATATAAAAAGGATTATGTACCATGACTGAGTGGGATTTATCCCAGGAATGCAGGCTTGGTTCAAATATGAAATTTAATCAATCCAGTATACCATGTCAATAGAATAAAGGAAAAAAAACAAAAACAAAACCCTGCATAATCATGTCCACTGAGGCGAAAAGAAAAAGACAGGCATTTAACAAAATTCAACACCTTTTCAAAACACTCAGCAAACTAGGAAGAGAAGAGAATTTCTTCATCCTGATAAAGGGCATCTATAAAACCCTCACCACTAACATCATAGTTAATGGCGGAAGACTGAAAGCTTTCAACATGATGAGGATGTCTGCTCTGATCATTTCTATTCAATATGGTACTGGCGTTAGCCAGGAACACTAGGCAAGAAAAATAAGTCATTTAGCTTGGAAAGAGAAAGTAAAACTATCCCTATTTGTATATGGCATGATCTTGTAGAGAGAACGTTGTAAAAAGTCCACATACACACAAAAAACTATTACAGTAAACCAATTTAGCCAAGTTGCAAGATAACAAGATCAATATACAAAATAAGGTTGTATTTCTACATGCTAACAATGAACAATCCAAAAATGAAATTAAGAAAACCAGTTCCATTTACGATAGCAGCCCACAAAACAAAACAAAAACAACCCTTAGGAATAAATGTAACAAAAGATGTATAAGATTTATATGCTGAAAACTACCAAACAACATTGAAGGAAATTTAAAAAGCCTTAAATAAATGGAAAGCTATTCTGTACTTGGATCAGAAGATTTAATATTAAAATGGAAATGCTCCCCCAAAACTGATCTACAGATTCAATGCAATCCCTGTTAAATCCTAGCTGACCTTTTTTTTAAAATAGAAACTGACCAGCTGTTTCTAATAGTTATATGGAAATGCAAGAGACCCAGAATAGCCAAACTAATCCTGGAAGAAGAACAAAGTTGGAGGACTTACATGCCCTGATTTTAGAATTTAATACAAAGCTACAAGCAATTAAGAGAGTATGCTACTGGCGTAAGGATTTATAAATCAATGGAAGAGAATTTTGAGCCCAGAAATAAACTCATCCATTTAAGACGAATTGATATTTAAAAAGGGTGTTAAGACTATTCAATAGGAAAAGGACAGTCTTTTTTAACAAATGGTTCTGGGACAACCTATCCACATGCAAAAGCATGAAATTAGACCCCTCCCTCACACCACATACAAAAATTAACTCAACATATTGAAGATCTAAATATGAGGTGAAACTATAACATTTAGATGAACATGAGGGCACAGCTCTTCATGACACTGGATCAGGCAATGGTTTCTTAAAAGACACGAAAAAACACAAACAAAAGAAAAAAATAGATACACTGGATTTTACCAAAATTTAAAAGTTTTGAGCTTCAAAGGACACTAGCAAGGAAGTGAAAGACAATCCACATGATAGGAGAAAATATTTGGAAATCACATAAAGGTCTAGCTTGCAGAATATGTAAAGAACTCATCATCCAACAATAAAAAAAAAATCCCAATCTGAAAAATAGGCATAGGATTTGAATAGATGGTTCTCCAAAGAAAATATAAAAATAGCCAATTACTATGTGAAAAGGAGCTCAACATCTCTAGTC